TGTCAAAGCATTGTGAAGAAGTCCAAGTCAGTTTTAATGAAGAGGTAGGTAAAGTCTAAATGATGGTGAAAGGCCGTTAACAAAGGTTTATAAAAATTTTTCTGATTTGACACCTATTGATATTAAAAGACTCGAATTTGACTCAGAGGATGAAGTTTATGACTTTTATTCTTGTTATGCCCAAATTAATGGCTTTTCTATTAGAAGAGATGATGTGCGTCGTGAGTCAAATAATAATACTATAATGAGAAATGTGGTTTGCAATCGTGAGGGATTGAGAAGCAAGAAGCACATGGAAAGGAACGATCGTGTTAGGGAGCTAAAGCCTATCACTCGTACCAATTGCATGGCACGACTTCGCGCATAGTTCGATAATCATACACGAAAGTGGATGATTATTGATTTCGATGATACTCACAATCATGAAATGACTTCATCAAAGTATGTTCATTTAATTCGAGCTTACAGAAGCATTAGTGACGACATTAAAGCACATGTAGATAGTTTACAGTTGCATGGAGTTAGAACTTGTCACATGATGGGGCTGATTATTGGTCAAAAGGGTGGACACGCTGATGTTAGATTCTGTAAGAAGGATTTTTACAATTACAATGATTAACAAAAGAGAGTTAAGATAAATGATGGTGATGCATTTGTTGCATTATCTTATTTGCAGGCCAAAGCAGACAATGAAAACTTCATGTTTTCGAAGTTCACAACCACAGAAGAGGGAAGACTTGATAACTTGTTTTGGTCCGATGGTGTAAGCAGACTTGATTACCATTACTTTGGAGATGTTGTTGCTTTTGACACTACTTACATAAAAACAAGTAGAACAAGCCTTTGGTTATTTTTTCTAGGTACAATCATCACGACGAAATAGTTATTTTTGCGTGTGCCTTAGTATCCGATGAGAAGACCGAAACATACAAGTGGGTTCTGAAAACTTTTTGTGAATGCAAGTTCGGTAAACATCCTAAGGCAGTTGTCACTGATGGAGATGTTGCAATGCGTGAATCAATTAGGACAGTGCTTCCAAGCCCCTTTCATAGGCTTTGTGCTTGGCATCTTCACAAAAATGCATGTGATAATGTTAAGAACTCACATTTTCTAGAAGATCTTAATCCTCTATTTTATGGTAACTTTAGCCCTGATGATTTTGAAAACAGGTGGAAGAAGCCAGTTGATGAACAAGGAGTTGCAAACAACAACTGAGTTAAGAAAGTTTATGACATGGAGATGATGTGGGCAAGTGCATATATGTGTGACAAGTTTTTTGCCGGTATTCGGACAACGTCCATCTGTGAAGGAATTAATTCATTAAGCGGTACGTTCAGAACAAAAACAACCTTGTTGATTCTATGCATAATTTTGAAAGAGCCGTAAAGGAGTATAGACACAATGAATTAATTTCTGATTTTGTACAATACAATATTCACTGGTTTTCAGATGGAAAACAAAAAGAACAAAAGAGAAGAGTTGAAATACTAAAGACAAAGAACGTGAAATATTTTGATGATTTAAATTAAAGGGACCTGATAGGCTGATATTATTTTAACCAGGAAGTACCAAAAGTACCCAATTGGTTTGAAAAAAACAAGATAGAAGGAAATGAGAGTATAAAGAGGGAAGAGAGAAAATATGTAGCGATAAAGAGAATCACAGAAAGAAAACAACAAGCAAAGAATATATATGACACTCATAAATGACTAGAAAAGGTTCCTAATTCACCAGATGGCAGATATCATTATTATTGTCAAGGTAAATATACATTCATGTGTCTCTATATCATATCACAAACGTCCTAGTTATTCCTTTTTGGCACAAAGGAGGTAATCTAGAGACAAATATCACAACAAAATTTTCAGGTCATATTGCCATTGTAAACTGGCTTTATACCTGAGATTATAGTATACTCAAAACCATATAGGTAGTATCGTAGGTTATTGCATCTCGAATATTCTAAGTTCTGCACAGAGTGGAGGAAGAACCTGAACATATAATTGGACAACCAGCCCCTCTATTGATGTAAATACTGAAACTGAAACTCTCAGAAACAATATTGAACCCATGTAGTATAACTCAACCTTTCTATATAAAAGTGGTCTTCTCTACCAAAATCCACATCCCCTAATAGGGAATATGTTTATGTACCATGCTATAAGCCTACAACATTCCTTTCTCAACTTAAATTGTGTGCTTGATAATTACAACTGTAATTACAATTTACAAATACACTGACACGTACTGAATGTTGAAAAAAGAATAGTAATAATAGGTGACAGGTAATTTCAAGTTCAGTGATGAAAAATATAAGTACATAAACAAATGATATTCAAAAGAATATTGGTTGAAGAAATTGGACATTTGCAATATTTAAAAATTGAGTTTTTACTTCGCACAACACCCGATGTCATGTTTCCTTGAATGCATATACCCTAAATGAGCATAGATTACAAAGGCTTGCCTAATCCCCATCATACAATCGCATCAGTTTGCAAATATAAGAGTTGGGTCTCTTTCTAAAGTTACCCCCAACAATTTCAATCCATTTAAATTGTGATCACCAATTTATAGGGCAGCAGAATGATGTGTGTTTTCTCGCACTTAAAAAGATTGTAATATAGTGGTGTAAGTACGAGTATCGTCTCCACAGGGACGGACAAAAGGGAATCAAGAATTAATTAAATTCAGCGATTAAAAATAAATAAATAAAATAAATGCGTCGTGCGAGATATGTTTGGGTTGGAAAGTTAAAATGCAATTAAACGATTAAAATAAATGATTGGTTTCTTCTCAATTAACGACGAAGGGAACAGGGATTGATTCCGGGGTAACCAGATTTCTGGCAGATCAGGCCTAATTACATGAATTTAATTTAATTGAGCCTAGCTAATCATTACTAAGTTCTTACCGCTCTCGCGGCGTAGAGTACAATAATTTAGGGGACCAGGCTGATCTCTCATGCGACAGGATCCTAAATTATTGCCAAGACGAGCAAGCTTACGGCCCCTTAATCGCTACTAATCTCTTAGCGAACGATTAAGTGTGTGTGAATGTGTCCTAGAATAAACTAGATCTCTCTTAATTTATTCTACAAGCAATTGTAATTCTAGCCGCGGTTCCAGGTTACAAAAGATATCAGTTAAATTATTCAAACACAAATTAAACGGCATTCATGCAATTAAACCAACAAGAATCTAGCCATCAATCATGATTAACCCCTTCATCAATCCCAAACCCCTAATTAAACTACTCACAATTCATAATTGAAGAATCAACAGAATTGAGATGAATAGAAATAATTGTCATTAATTAAAAAGATGAACTTACAAATAATCCCAGGGTCTTGGAAGAAAATAGCGTAAAAACGGTGTTAAATTCGTCCCTAGGCCTCTCCGTAATGTTCGTAACCATCAAAAAGGGTTAGGGAGGCCTTATTTATAGAAAAAGGATGAAAAATACGAATTTGGGTTGATTTGGGATTTAATTTCGCGTAATCCGGGTCTACGCACGGCGTGCGTCTCCCCTACGCACGGCCGTGTGTAGCTGGCAGTAGCTACCTTGCTTTTTCTCGCCTCAGACGCACGGTCGTGCGTTCCCCTACGCACGGCGTGCGTAAAACTTCCGAATTTGACAAAACTTCCTTCATGAAAGTTGTAGATAATGAAGTCTTCTATCCACCCCAATTTGCCGAATGTGATTTGAATCATCCAATCAAGAGATATGATCAAAACGGTGGAAGGTGTCATTCTGAGATCGCAGCAGAGACCATCTGACTTCATCGTCTGTTTTCATATTCTTCCTCTCAGATTAAAGGAATGATGTCTTCATATGATTTGTATCTCTTGAAGTTGGCTTTCATGTGGAATTTGAATCGTGTTCTTTGGAGGCTTATACAAAGAGATATGCTTGAACGATTGACCAAAGGTCATCCTGAATGCCGTTTTCAAGCTTCATTCATCTTCTTTTTTATCCCATAGCCAATCCTAGAGCTCTTTTGTCATTAAATCTTCATCATAAACCTACTGGTGACCTCCATAGCTCTCAAATCAACACTCAAATGCATCTCGAATCATCCCGATTGCTCCTCAAGTGCCGATGTTGAACTCTAAAATCCTGATTTTGACTCCAAATGACACAAAACTCGAACCAACGCCTGTTAAACATAACTTGAGCTAAAATTGAGACTTGTAACACCTTAAAGCTAGGAAAACCATCAAAAGCCGATCCCAACACGCATCAAATGCGTGTCTAAATACGGACTTATCACAGAAGATCCCAAATTTGAAACCTTCTACACAAATTTCATTCGGTTTGTCCTCCTATTTCGAAAGCAACTTCCCTGGTTATGCTTCGAACATGGGCTATGCTCTTCACCCACCGACCATTGTCTTCTCCTTTAACACCTAATGGTCGATTGGCCTGACACTTACCCCTCATCCACAGGGATATGATAGTACCCACCAGGGGATGCATTGGTGAGTCTGTCCCTGCTCGACGGGTGTGTCTTGCAGTCAAGCCTTTGCACTCGATAGAGAGAACGATTGAACACAGTTGAGAAATGAAAAATATAGTGTTTGACGGTAGCATAACGGAGACTTAACGCAGAACCGATACAAATTAGTTGTCAAATAATTTAGGGGTATGTTAGCAAATTCGGGGAGAAACGAAAGCATTTAAATAATTGATCCTTGCTGTAAAAAAGAGTACGACACATGTCTTAATCTTAGTGCATAGGTATGATACCTTTGATTTTGTCAAGGTATTGAAGTGGTCACCTCATGTAAAATGACACCTCTTCCCTGAGAGACTCCAAACACCGGCCAGATAATTAGATGTGAGGATATAAGTTGGAATTTAATTACAAACTGAACGATAGAGTTAATGACTCTGATCAACCCTCATACATGGAGAAATCCTATGCATTTTTAGCATACTAAGCTATTAGTTTATCTAAGTGATCACCTAACTAGAATAGTAAAAGGAACCCATATATAGTGCGAATCTGGAAAAACAAAAAACAAAAAACAAAAATCTTCTGGAAAAGCAAGAAGAAGAGCAAGTCAATTTATCTTCTTCAATTCGTTATTTGCCCGGCGGGCCTCGCCATTGTTGATTATATTCCGACGAAGATGGATACAGTGGTATAGTCCGACGGCCCGGCCTCTCCATTTCTATTTTATATGTCTGGAGATTATTATCATCATCCCGCTGCTAACTTCACTTTCTCGAATGGATTCGAGAAACTCCAAACTGAACATATCCGGAGAGAGAGGCTGAGGGTCCAAGGGTTTGAGCCGGCGCCGCCGCCGCCTTTAGTTGCCATGGAAGAAGAGCATCATCAGTCGACTGGGCTTCACCATCAACAGATTTACGAGACCACCGGAATGTTGTCAGAAATGTTCAATTTTTCTTCGCCGGAAAACCCGGAGTGCTATCGTTTACGGCCGCCTCCTGAGTGGCACGGGAACCGACACGGGACGGCGGCCGACATGCAACTTTTCCTCACGAACCCATCCCCGCCTTCTCCGCCGCCTCTCCAAGACTACTACGCCCAGCGCGGGGGCAATTTCGGTCATTTCACAAATTCCGAAATCGGCGGCGTTAATGTTGTGGAAGGCCGGGGACTATCGTTATCACTCTCTTCCTCCTTGCATCCCAAGGCGGCGGAGGAATTGAGGATGGGCGGCGAACACGGCGGAATGATATATTTTAGCCAAGGGGGAGGACAAAATTTTCTCCAAACGCGACATAATCTGCCGGGCGGCGTAAATGTCGGTCAAAGCAATCCAGTCAACGACGGGTCAATTGGGTCGTCTATGGGAGTGGTCAACGCGCTCCGAAATTCCAAATATGCCAATGCTGCTCAAGAATTGTTGGAAGAATTCTGCAGTGTTAGCCGCGACCAATCGACGACGGTCGATAATGCCACGAAACTAACCGCCGCTTCCTCCGCCGATCAAAACCCTAATTTAGATAAAACTATTCCGCCGAGTTCCGGCAGTAAAGCCGCCACTTCTCCACCTCCATTATCTGCCTCCGATCGAATTGAGCATCAAAGACGAAAAGTCAAACTGTTATCCATGCTTGATGAGGTATCTTCCATCCAGCTAAAATTGTCTCTTTTGTTACATTTAGAATCCAGCACGCTGTTTTGGCTGATTCTGCTAAAATTTATGAAGTTCTGCCTAAAATAGATGCATTGGCTGATCCCGCTGATTTAAGAAAAAATCATTTTTAAAATATATTTTATTAATATAAAGAAAAAATTATATGTAAAAATAGCTAAAATGATCATCTACCGTAAGTTCAGCCAATACAACCAGAAAAGTAAATACAACCTTATTTTTTCTGCTTATCACACAATTCAACGTGCGAAAGCAAACGTTTCGTGTTTGGTGAAAAAATTAGCTGATAAGCCTCAAAATCGGAAAAACAGTGTACAACCTATTAAATTATCCACTTCCAAATTTAGTATAATTTATTTTATTCTTAGTTTATCATTTCAATACAATCACACAAATTTACTTTCCTGTATAATTACCAAACTTACAGAAGTAATATAATACTCTATAATTATTACTCCACTCCGTATAACAATAATTATAATAAGCTATGAATTAATTTAATCTTCCTATAATAGTACAAGCTCGCTTTAAACTAATCTATCTTAATTAATCATGACCACCTAATTCACAAATCATTAATTGCATCATCCTTCCACGGGTTCCACCCAATTTAATCACGATTTATAAAACAGTTCTTTGAGGGACCTATAATTTTGAGTGGAACAATAATTACAAAACGGTGGCGGCTGTATGGATGCATATGTTTGTAGTAGACTAGTAGTGTTCACTGATCACATCGAGTTGGTCCAATTTGATTAAAATTCAAATTTTTAAGCACAAATTTTATTAGTCTTTGGTGAATATACAATGCATGATTGGTGGGGTGCTAATTATTTACTCGTATACTTTACGGAGTATTTTATTTTGGTGTGGTGAGGCACGACAGTAATCATTGACTTACTAACTATTAGAAGATGGGACAGAGGTGTACTTACGACCGTATAAATATAAAGATATTTTTGTTTCTTACTGATTGCTATATAAATGCCGAGTTGCCGACTAATTATCTATAGCGTTTGTCACAATGAAATGGTCCATCATAATCTACTCTTTTGTCCATTTTGAGAGTTGAATTGGCAAATACATTTAAATGGAGAAATTTTGATTGTAAAATTATATTTTAAATATATTTTATTAATAAATTCAAAATAAATATATACATTTAAAAATACAGAAAAAGTAGCCATCTTCACCAATTTGAGCCAATTCAAATAGAAAAACAACATGAATTATACATAGTACTCCCTCTGTATCAGTTTTATTGCCCCAATAGAGTTTTGTAGTAGTTTAAGAAAATTTATAGATTTACTGTACACTTTTTGAATAAGTAGGAGCTTTTTGGTACTGTAGCAGCACTGTAGCTGCTTTTTAAATGGATTTATTTGCAAAAATAAAAGTGAGCCAATCATTTTGATACACCCAAAGAGAGAATGTGGGACAATAAAAGTGATACGGAGGGAGTATATTTTAACAATTAAATAATTTAACTCGTGAAATTGAAAGACGGGTTTAATTTTGGCAAAGATTTTACAGATTTAAAATTTAAAGAATTTAGTCAAAAAATTTAAAAGCATAACCATATTTTTTCATCACAAATTTAGAAATTATTATATTAATGTGTATCATCATTCCTTAAAAACTAATGTCAGCTACTAATAAATTACTCAGATTTGAGATGAGGATCAGGTTTCCATCGTTGGTAGTTAAATTTCCCTTTTAATCAATTTCTTCATTCCATTATATATGTCCCCCCTCCAGAAATAGCTTTCTTTGTCATTTGTACTGTATATATATATCTATTAGCTTTCGGTTTAAAAAGGACAGGTTGATATATTATATTTGTCAATTTAGTTCGTTTACTAAAAAGGATAGTATATTATATTTGTACTCTATTAAAATTTCAATTTTTTTTTTAAATTTAATTTGGAAGATAAAGGGCATCGAAATACTTTCTCATTTGTTAATTGTTATTTTGATTACAAGTTTGTTGCAGAAAATGTTCAGTTAATGTGAAATTTATCAGATTAATCATTAAAATGGCTTGAAATTTAATTTACATTTCAGTTTTTTTTGAAAACGAAATACAAAGACTTCAAATACAAGTTTGGGATGAGGAATAGGTGATCACTTAACTTAAGTACTCATCTCCAGGCTTCTCGATTCGATCAGGACATTTTGTGATTATTACGTTCCTTGTTGCGTAATTAAAAATAATGGTAAAACTTTGGAATGAAGATTTATTCATTTACATGCGGCGGTTGAGACCTCAAATCACTTAGCTACTACAAGTCTTCATCTCTTTTCAAAATTAGTATAGACACAACAACGACAGATCATACGCATAATACACATTAACACATGCATGTCCTAATTTGGATTTTTCTGTTGTCATTTGCTTTTGCCATAAAGTAAATCGCTAAATGGATTATTAATAGAAATTGCTCAATAATAGATCAAAACATAGATATTGTTCCAAAATAATTAAAATCAAATGTACATTCTCTAAATATGACTTATATTGTTATATCCAAAGAATAAGTTGATTAAAGGGAAAGTACCGAAATATGAGAAAAAATGATTTGGAATTCTAAAAAGGATTGTCATGTTTTTTATTCGTTAAATAAGAATAAGTACTATCAAGTATAGAAAATACTGACATGTTTAAAATCTGGTAATGTAAAAAACGTGACAATTCCTATTTAGCAAATAAATAACAATAATTACTCTTATATAGAGAATAAAAACATAACAGTTCTCTATTCTGGAATTCACAAGCGTTTTTACTTCTATTTGGAGCTATTTCTTTTGACTAAACATTCTTAAAATATTAGTGATTGCAGCCTATTTTGCGAATAAACCAATGATTGTCCTATTTGTGAATTTTAATTTGTCTTTGTTTTAGTCGTACTTAAGAAAATTTTTCATGTATTAATTTAGATCGAGCCCATTTATCTCGTTCCACAGTAGTTAAATACAAATGCACAAAACAAAATATATATTCACAAGGTTATTCTTTTTATTAAATTGACATGTTTTTCAGATGAATATGGAAAAATCTTGTTATGACATCAAAACATATTAGGTTTAAAGCATAACAAAAAATTGAAACATATTTTGTCATGGAGCTCTAGGTGACCACACAAATTCATCCAAAATCTGTCATCCACCATGACAAAGTGACAAACTCCTATCCGTGCTGACAACTTCTTTTTTCGACACAAGATTCTATAATAAATGTGGGACTAAATCCGCGATTATTTTTTGAAATAATTACATAAATATGATCAAAATAAAGATGTTTTACAAAAATATGATAAATTACTAAAGTAATAATGAAATCATAGTAATTCATGTTCAAGTTTTGAACTTAAGTTACCATAACACTACGTTGTAGTAATGAATAGTCATATTTATGTAAATAAGTTTTATTTTAGTAATATTCTTGTAAAAAACTTTTGTTTTTTTAATGAATGAGCAATCAATTATATTAGGTTAAGATTATGGCATTATTTTTAAGATGGTTCTGCTCGAGCTGAGTGAACTGTGAGTATAGTATAGTAACGACTCTTGTAAATGTGATTTTAATGAAAAAAAATCAACTTTAGTACAAAATACTTATTTGATCTAAAATATTTTAACTATTAGTGTGTTAAGTTCTATTCTAACACTTTCAACTATTAGTGTGTTAAGTTCTATTCTAACACGTTTCTTAGAGAATACTCTAACCTATTAGTACAATATAGTACTTCCCCATTCCAAAATAAACATCTTTATTTCCTTTTAGCATGTCTCAATATAAGCTTCTTGTATTCATTTAAGGAAATAAATGTGTGTTTCTTATAATTAATCCACTCATTTTTATCAAAATTTATACTACTCCGATATATCTTTTCGTTTTAAACTACACTTTTTGTTTTGTTTTGTTTTAAACTACACTCTTAATCAGCCGCGTCAACTAAAAGAAGAAATGCATTTTCGGAGATGGAAAGAGTATCTTTTATAAACTTCATTGAACTAATTAATAATTAGGTTTTGAATATTAGTCAAGCATTTGTGACCATATCATGCACTAGGATCAAAGAATAATAAAGATTACACTCAACCAAGTCGCCAATGTAATCCTCATATATGTGTGTGTCTCTTTAATACTACGTAGTAATGGTAGTATATCCCAATATAGTATTATGACCTTAAAGTGTTATTCATTCAGGTGGACCGAAGATACAACCATTATTGTGAACAAATGAAGATAATTGTGAACTCATTTGATTTGGTGATGGGATTCGGAGCATCGATGCCATACACGTCTCTCGCCCAACGAGCAATGTCTCGACATTTCCGGTGCTTGAAGGGCGCCATTAGCACGCAGCTGAAGCACAGCTGCGAGCTTTTGGGAGACAAAGACTCGGGCGGGACGTCGTCATGTCTGACAAAAGGAGAGACTCCAAGGCTTAAGATGCTTGAACAAACCCTAAGAAAGCAAAGGGAAATTCATCAAATGGGAATGTTGGAACATGAAGCTTGGAGGCCCCAACGAGGCCTACCCGAACGTTCAGTCAACATGTTGAGATCTTGGCTCTTTGAGCATTTTCTACACCCGTAAGTACCTAACACGTCCAAGAAAAAAAGAATTATAACAAATGTTAAAAGAAAACTGTATGCATTGAAGAAAATTTTGGTAGACAACGATCATACTCCCTCCGTCCCTCTATTAAGTTCCTACTTTGACCTACACATATTTAGGAAATAAATTTGACTTTACTGTTTAGACAGTGTTTGGCACTGTTCAGACACTGTTTGGCACTGTTTAGACACTGTTTGACACTGTTTTGCACTGTTTGACACTGTTTTAATGTAGGATAACTTTCCATTTAGGGAAATGAGAAGATTATTTTGGGACGGCCCAAAAAGAAAAGTAGGAAGTTAATAGCGGGACGGAGGGAGTATCTGTCAAGCATTACCTTCATCTCATTAACATTGAAAAATGAAGGGGCTAGGTGACACAGTTATTAAGAAAAGTGAATTTATTTAGTTGATATTGAATTGATAAAGTAAGTATAATGCAAAAATAATTTAGAACCAAACAAACTTTATCAAATTTGGTGTGCAACAATTCTAGTGTTGTGATTTCTCGAAACCTAAAAATAGGATACAGAACTCTATATAGATTACACCGGCCCTAGCTAACATAAACATGAGTAAAGATATAAAGCGTTTCCATTCAAATCAGTCATGCATTGACACTTTAATTAGGTCTAGAATATCGCCAGTGACTGAAGGGGCCGCAGTATAATGTTGATCTGAGCATTTTTGATGTTTTATCAAGAGTCGAAAAAGGGAAAAGTTATTTTATAAAAAGCTGAAAAAGCTTACTACCTCGGTCCCATTTTATGTATGTGTCTCCTTTTGTTTTGGCACAATTTTTAAAAAATAAAAGTTATGGTTTAAATTTGAGTATAATAAAGTGAAATGTTGTGAACCACATATTTCTTTCCCAAAAGGGAAAGGAAACACTTATTTTGGAACAACCCAGATAGGAAAGTAAGACAGGTAAAATGAGATCTGATTCATATATATACCCCACAACTGCACACCAAGTCATTCTGATAACCTTGCATGAATATGAACATTAAGCTAACTAGCTAGCTTAGGTCAGTTAATAGTTAGCTATCTAATACTCCCTCCGTCCCAGAATTAACTTCGGTTTTGACTGGGCACGGAGATTAAGAAAGTGGGAAATGTGTGGTGGAGAGTTGTGCAGAGGAGAGAGAAATGTGTAAGAATGGTTGTGAATCACAAATCCTTTGCTAAAAAGGGAAAGAGGAGATAAATTTGGGACGGACCAAAAGGGAAAGAATGAAGATAATTATGGGACGGAGGGAGTACTCCGTATATGCATTTGTTTTCCATTTTATTTGATTACTGCGTACTACAGTTGTAAGAAAAAATATAAAGATGATGTAACATCCTAAAAAAGGTAAAGACATTTCCTGATGAACTTTATGATAAATTCATAATATCAGTACAAATCCTTTTAGTACTAATTTAAGGGTTGGTTTGCAACTGCTTTTAAAAAAGCACTTCTCAGCTTTTGGCTTTAAAAAAGCACTTATTTTCCCAAACACTACAACTTTTATTTTTCTCGGCTTCCGCGTCAAAAGTGCTTTTACTTTTTCTATTACACAAAAAGCACTTATTTTACCAAACACTACCCACTTTTACTTTTCAAAATCACTTTTTTCTCAAACACTATCAACTTTTATTTAATCACTTTTCCTCATTTCATTAAAAAAAGCACTTTTTTAAAAGCAAAAGCTGTTGCAAACAGACCCTAAGTAATACTCCCTACGGAGTATTAGTTTAGGAATAAAAAAAATGTTAGTCTTCTTCACATAGGACCAAATAGATAGTACTCCGAATTATTTTTCATAATTGATAAGTATTTTTAAAGAGGGTAACGACACATCCGGACTTAAACTAATCAGATGAAACTAGACATTAGTAAAAGTACGGTAAAACTCACATACACTAAAACTAAGCGGCCTAGAATAGATTAGAATAGGTTAGACTTAAACACAGATTATGAAATTTCAATCCACTCGAGAATATAGTCTTATTTGGAGTTATTTTAAACGGCTAATCTTCTTGTGGGTTAGTTTTGTAACTGCAGTTTTGCGTTCTTGTATATGGAGTATATAGGATAAAAAATGCTTAAGGTGCACAAAATGTGCACACTTTTTGTGTACACTCCCTAGTTGCCTATGCATTCAGACAATTCGTTAAGAAAGACACAACATTTGTCTCCCAATTGCCTTTGTACACAGGCAGTGTACAAAAAGTGTACACTTTTTGTGTACACCAAGCATAGCCCATATGGGATAGAGTGCAATATTTGTGAGTGAAGTATGGTTTGCATATTTGTGGTGGGGCCAGAGTCATCATTTTCATTTACCTCAGTGCCGCAAAGGCTCTCACCTACGGTGGGGTAAGGGGGTCGGATGTATGCAGTCTTACCCCTGTACTAAAGCACAGAGAGACTGTTTCCGTGGTGGGACAAGAGTGTTGTGCCTAAAAAGAATCTATATGTAATGAATGAATCGTATGGTTAATTAAAGAAATATAGATAGTATATAGTTGGGACCGATAGATAATGGAGGGAGAGAAAAAAAAGAGACCGGGCGGGCATGATCAGGCATGCATGCAGTCCTCCTGTGTCTTTACTTCTGCTGCACTATCCATATATATATATGTATACTGCCCTACTGCTATTTCTGTTGCAGACCTGAGACACAACTTATATATAAGGCTATTGCAGGTCTTAGATTCTCTCACGCCTACATCTCATTATTTTACTTATTTACCCCTGATAAATTAATTATCTCTTTCACTTGTACTATCGTATATAGAGATAAATAGGAATTTCCCTCACATTTTCCTCCCTCATTTTCTAACTAATTTTAAGTAAGCCATTTCCTCTCTGAAGTTGACCAGTCTTTATATAGTCCACTTTTTCATATCTGTATCAAATGTTTAAGTTTTTACCATGCAACTAAATTTGTCCCATAAGTATTAGGGAGTATATGTGAAAATATTTTTATGATTCAAATTCATGTAAAGTTTATGAATTGAGTTAATTCTACTTTTGTCCTATGAGCTTTAATTTATGTCAATTTCACACTTAAGCCACGTCGTTAACCAATTTATCCACTTTTGGTACTTAACTAATATTTCTTGAGCATTTGTGGTCCGTCTTCAGTGATTTTAAGTTTTTAACCACCAAAAACATTTCCGGAAGGCGGGATTGAAGGACAATAAATGGACGAAAACATAATAGTCATGTACTAAAAATGATCAACGTCAAATACGTGAATCAATTGTGAAAGTGGTGAGATACTCGCAGGACTAAAGTGGAATTTATTAATTTGATGTCGCTCACATAATTCTACTTTTGGTAATATGTGTGTCACCTTTTCCCATCTTAGATATTGTAGGACTGAGGTAATAGTGTAAAGTTTAGGCGAGGGCTTTGAGCCTTTGATGTAATTATTTGGGGTCTGTTTCGCAGGTACCCCAGTGATGCAGATAAACACCTCTTAGCTCGACAGACTGGTCTCTCCCGTAACCAGGTTGGCTACTTTCCTGCCCATGCCACATTGCCACTTAATTACTACTTCAAAAATACAAGATTCGTTTAAGTTTAATTTTACAGAATATAATGTTTAAAACATAAAGGAAATAATTGTTTTACCATTCTAATCTGCAAAAATGAAAAAAAGTCAAAGGGAAATACCTAAATGTGACTAATCATTCATATAGATTCATAATACTACGTACTTTCTCCGTTCTTAAATAAATGTAACGGTCAACATTTCACACTTGCTGATACACAACTTTGACCGTTAATATATACTCCATCCGGTTTTTAATAAACTTCACACTTTCATTTTTGGGACGGACTAAAATAAACTTCACACTTCCTTATTTCCTTTTTTGGCAAAGAAATTTACATCAAAACAGTGCCAAACAGTGTCTTAACAGTGCCAAACAGTGTCTCAACAGTGCCAAACAGTGTCAAACAGTGCCTCAACAGTGTACTCTACAGTAAAGTCAAATTTCTTTCTTTATTTTGTGTCAAGTCAAAGTGTGAAGATTAAATAAAACCGGAGGGAGTATAATTTTGTATTAGTAAAAAAATTAAAAAAATTATATTTTGAAAATTTACAATGAGACAAATTTAACAATATTTTTTTCATAAAAAATATTAATTCATTAATAAATAAAATGTAGTCAAAGTAGAACATGTGAATAGTGTAAATTTTCATATGTTGCATTTATTTAAGAATGGAGGTAATATATGACTAGCAACTTAAACATGACTTTATATGAGTAATAATTGAATTCAAGAGAGAATGAGTAGGATCAAAATAGATACCAGGCCATATACATATAAAACACCAATAATTGAGGAATAAAAAGCTATTCAGTCAGATTTTAGAAATCACCACTTTTCTTTGTCATACATCTAGTAATTTTCCTCGAGAAAAATGGATTCGAGAGGAATGGAATGTGAAGCGATTAAAAAAGGATAAATTAAAGTGATCGCATAAAAGTAAAGGGTGTTTTAGTCTTGTATTTTTTTTAATTGAGTTCATTATTAGTTCTTTAACTTTAGAAAAATTGCCCTAATTAAACAGGAGTAAACATGTTTTGAAATCATAAAATATGATTGTTGTGTTTTTATTCCTAAAAAGGAAGCTGCTACTGTCATGATCGGAAATTACTACCATTAATGATAGTAATAATGTCATGTTTAATGTCCAGTACTTCAACTATTTGACAAAAATGACTATAAAATGACAGTAAATACTGTTATGCTTCGGAAAGAAAAACATACTCATCTTATTTTGGAATTTCAAAACTTGTTACTCTTATTCCAGGAACTTTCCCTCAACTTTATTTACTTGCACATTTGGTGCCGTAACTAATTAATAAGTCTGTCGATATTAGTGACTTTCCACCGAGAAACACTTTTCAATAAAAAAAACACTCAAAAAAACGTCGTCGACATCAACAAAAAATCGCGTATTAAATCTTTTATTGTTTATCCAAAATCACATTTTAGAAAGAAACTTAAATATGGTATGGAATGAATTTAAATCCATTATTGTTTATCCTTTCAGAACTTAAATATGATATTATAAGGGAGTTTGGAACTGATTCCACGTGTGCATCTTTTTTAAAAACAAAAATAAAATTAGAATCGATTTTTCTGATTTTGCTCTCCCACTTGTGAAAAAATCCATACACTTCAATATTTGCTCGATTGTGCTCTTTGAAAGAATCTATACACTTCAATGCTTTTTTTTTTAAAGAATCGATACAATTTGAACAAGTAGATCCAAAAACCAAACTGTGTGACATACGTACGTAGCTTTCTGTTCAAAGGTAGCAGCACAACAAATTGGAAGAAACATTGTCATACTACGTATTTGTTTGGATGTTTCACCGACACGAGGATGCAAATGAATAGTCTAAGCTAGTACATTTCCAGAGGTCCCCGGCTAGCATACGGTGATATAGGGTTGTTGCAACTTGGCAACTTGCACCCCTCCCTTGACTTAAGTTGCAAAAGCTATATAGCTTCATAATTTAAACGTCTCCACAACAAAAAAAACACGGGATTGGCAGGGATTTTGGCACAGATTTTGCACGGATTTTGGCAGGGATATGCCAAATTCGTGCCAAAAATACTTTGGCATGAACTATTTGGCACGAAAAATTAATAAGTCCGTGCCAAATTCCGTGTCAATCCCAACATTTACTCTATGAGATTTTCAAATCATAGAGTATTTAGTTGATTGTCCCATGGGTATTAGGGGTCTTAAGAATGGGGTGTCAATCTTTTTCAAATTCCCGTTTTCCAGCTCCAATGTTTAGGGGCGTGGCACCCTTAATTTAGATTGGTAAATGGTAACCTAACCTGTAAGGCCAGATTAATTGAACAAAAATTCCATACATACAGTAACTCTAAAACATAATACTGGGGATATTTTTAATTGGATTGGTTTCCGTCCAAGACTGGAACAAACTTAAACAAATTAGATCAGACTAAATCCGAGCATAATATACTTCGACAATAATAAAATACGCATCAATCGGTCATCTACCAGACTAGACCAAATTAAATCTACAACAATGCTTGATATATCCACTCTTATACTCATCATGTCTATGAAGGTTTTTTGTCTATGAATCGGTTCACAGACAAAATATCACATATTTTGTCTGTACAAATTTTCACAAACAAAATATTGTCTGTGAACGGAACTAAAAAAAAAACCTTTACAAACATGGATGTGTATAAAAGTGGGTATAAGAGTGTGTACAAGCACCATCTTTGTTAAATCTAAACATATTATACTAAAAAATTTCAGTCCAATTAAAACATCTTACTGTAAGCTCAAGTATGTGTACTAATACTTTTATGATAAGCCCTCTGATAATTAAATCTGGTAATTAATGCGTAGGCTTACATATGATGTTTGAATTTAAACTACACATGTAGGAGCAGTAGTAGTAGATGATATGCATCAATGCATTCAGCTTCGCATATATAGATCAATAGATGTGTGTGTCATTGTATGATATGTAAATATACATGTCGATACTCATCCTTTCATTGACTATTTATTGAAATTGGTTTCATCATTCATATGCATGCTGCAGCTAGATAGAGCTAGAGCTAGAGACCGCAGTGATATATAGATGCACTGCTAATAAATTTAATCCTACATCTATATAGTACTCCGTACTATTATCAGCGGCAGTGCATTAAAATGAATCACACCACAGTACTTTTAAAAAAAGGTCCAAATAGTGTGGGAGTCTGTGCCACTACGTCAGGGTCTGTGTTAGGATATTGGAAGTAAATGTGATTAACTTATCAGCCTATGTTAATCAGCCTATGTTAATTAGAGGATCTTAGAGATGAGATGTCACCTTTTTGTATATACTCCGTATGGATTTTTGTACTCCGTATGTAAAATGTAAAAATAGCTAAAATGGTCATCTACAGTAACTTCAATCGATACAGTCAAAAAAGTAACTCTAACCTTACTTTTTCTGCTTATTACACAATTTAGCGCGCGAAATCAAAACTTGCGTGTTTGGTGAAAAAGTTGGCTGATAAGTCTGATAAGCCGAAAAACAGTGTTGCCAAACAAACTGTAAAATATGCAACTCAAACAGCTGATGGTATACAAGTCCTTGGTATTATATAACATTGCTGGTTAAGAATATGTTAAAGTTTGTTAATCCACTTGTTCTTATCTTTTTATGCACAAGAGAAAATATAGAATGAGAAGAAATATGTACACCATACAAGTAAAGAGAGTTTCAATTCAATATCAAGCTACTAGCTTTTAAGTTCAACTTTAATTTAGAGGGACAATTAAATAGCTTAACAAAGAATGGGTTATTAATTACGTACTGTTGTTTTTTCACCATTCATTCAATTCTTTTGATCAATAGTAATTAATTAACATAGTAGTTCGGTCGTTACTATTTACTATTCGATCAATTATGTAGCAGTAATATAAAACAGCAAACAAGAGTCCAAAGTGGCAAAGTGCATGTATAGCAGCATAAATGGTGGGATTGATCATTGTGCTAGACAGGGGCGTAGCCGGGACCGATGTTTACCCTGGGCCGACTATACACTAAAAATATTATATAAAAATTTAAAAGCGACAATAGTGTGTTCGTAATTGGCTTGAAAACGGCGTATCATATCCTATCTTTGTAAACTCGGCCTTTGTAAGAGTTCGATTTAGGTTGATAAGGTCCAAGCATCAATTTGCGTTTTCCCAGATCCCGCTCAATTTGAAGTGCATCAGAAACTACTTCCTATTGAACGGATGAGATATTAGGAGTTTCAATTGAGACATTTAATTCTTGTCTACTTTGTAATTATGTGCTTGTATTTGGCTTGAACGCAATGTGATTTCTGCCTTTTTGAAAGTAGATTGAATAGTCATACCTACTAAAATTATCAAAACAATTTAAAAATGAATCAATATTTTCTTTTAATTCATATTATCCATATTAATATTTTAAAAAATTCACAAATAACATTGGACATTCCTAAATTTCTATTTCACAATTCAAGACACAAAATTACACAAATCAATTGTGACACACTAATCATTAACACAAATTAATTTATCAAATAAAATACTTTTTTTATCATTAACAAATAAAATACTTATATAATTAATCTAAAAATTGTAAAACCAAATAAAAAAGAAACCCTTATTCTGCAGCTCTGCTTGAAGAAGCGATCTTGAAGAGAGGAAAAGCAGAAGAACACAGCCGGCTTCTGGTGTCCAAGAGAGAAGAAGTCAGCCGTCGCCGGTCAAGTCGATCATAGCGATTAGAGAGCAGCTTAGGCTGTGTCTCCGGCACTCCGGCGAGTCAGCGAGCAGTTTAGGCTGTGTCTCCGGCTAGTCGGCGAGCAGACGGGAGTCGACGACGTCCGGCAATTTGGCGTCAGGTCCGTGAATGCGTTTTGCGTGATTACTGATGCCCGGTAGTTTGTATTGCTACGGAGCTGCACTTCTTTTGCTAAAGTTGGAGCTGGACTGTCATATTGTTTGGGCCATAATATTTCTACCCTGGGCCAGTTTAATATTTACACTGGACCAATTTACAAAAAAAAATTTAAACTATATATATAATAAAAAAAATAAAAAAAATTGCCCTGGGCCATGGCCCAGCCAGGCCACCCCCTCCCTCCGCCCCTGGTGCTAGATGTAGTGCATGCAGTAGTATAGCAAATTCAATAAAGACAGCATAAGAATTAATTTCAAATAAAAACGGGATATTTTGAATTTTGAGTATTTAATATATTGGAGCAATTAACTGAAACAAATATTTGGAGCAAAGAGTGAAGGTACATATTAACTTTAAAAAGTCTAGAGGGAAGGTCTAGCCTGTTGGAAGGCTGAATGTTTGGATTGGACTGTTGGATGTTTGCTTGTTGTTTTTATGAGTTTAATATAAGCATTTTTCAGTCCAAAAATTGAAACAAATTGATATGTATAAATTTATAATCGTCTCATATATATTAAAAGCAACAACTAACCGAGTTACGCAAATCAAACATGTTTTTTTTTTTGGACAATTCTTTCTAACCTATATAGTATCTGCTCAAAATCAAACATGTTATTTTGGGTTTCGAAAAGCCAAATTTCTAGGTGTTTGCTCTAAAGTATTAACCGCTAAACTAGATCGAGCACGTTGGGTAGCCAATCTTTAGTTTAGTGGTGTTTGGATGTACTTCTGAATGGTTTGTGATTCTTTGGAGAGCATAAACATACTACATATATTATAGTGTTCGCATAAAAATGCAGAAGTACTTCTGAATACTTTAAAGGTAGTTTCTATGGTACTCATAAGGTACCGTACCTTTGTCCACATGGACCAATGAAAAGGTAGCAGTTGAATTATTTAAATCTAAATTAAAATTGATAAAGTGATGTGGTCCAATCAAATGAATGCTAGGTACGGTACCTCTGTTTTTAGAAAGGTACCGGAGTTGTCACCTACTTTAAATTGCTTTTACAAGCTAATTTTACGCAATTAGAGGAGATCGACTTCTGAAAAACTGTTTCTGATTCTGCTTCTTTTAATATTTATTTCTTTATTTTATTAATAAAATATATTTCAATTTTTGTATTCATAATTCCGTTGAATCTATCAAATCAACCGTTTACATCGTGCATAACCAAAGAGCCTCGAGCTCAATTTGAAAACAAAAATAACACTTCAAATTGATTAAATTAACAATTATAAATAATGTTTCTACGTACATTTCAAAATTCACTACATACTCAATTTTGCTATATATTGTGGTCGTCTTTGCTTGTGAATTCTCTAACAATTGTACTCCGCATTAGTTTACAATAAAATAGTTCGGAATAATTTGCTTTAGTATATATGAATAATTGAATTCATTATACATTCCATAACCATTTTATTTTATTATAAAATAATTAATAAAAAACATATAGGCATTATTTTATAGGCATTATATTTGGAATTATTTTATAGGCATTATATTTCTCAGGTATCGAACTGGTTCATAAATGCGAGGGTTAGGTTGTGGAAACCCATGGTTGAAGAGATGTATCAACAGGAAGCCAAAGCAAATGGTGGAGCTGGAGAAAAGAGTACAGACAGCAACAGTACCAGCATCAGCAGCAGCCCCAACAGTGGGAATCATGTCACTGCCCCCACACCACCATCACCCACTACTGTCACTATCACTGCACAAGTTGGTGCATGCAAAAGATCCGAACGGAATTGTGACCAAGAAAATGACCCTTCACTCCTATCATCAGTGACCAATTTCCCCGAAGACCGCGCCGGATCGCCTTCCGGTAGCGTTTTGAGGCTCGGAACGACTGGCAGCTCCGGTGATGTTTCGCTCACACTGGGGTTGCACCACCACGGAAATTTGCCGCCGGACAAAAAAGCATGGTCCTAGCAGTGGGCCCATCTCTCTCCGAATTATATACTCCTTACGTCCAACAAAATCTTTATGACACGAAGGGAGTATTGTTGTACAACATTCATTAAGAATTATGAATATAAAATCAACGAAGTGAGATAAAGTAACATGAAAAAAGATAGGGAGAGAAGACGTTTTTACTTGAGCTTTTTTAGTTATGTGTTCATCTTTGTGTCGCAATTATATCTACAAGACAATTAGACAAACGCGTGATTAATCACACAAAATTGATATAGAGAGTATGATTATGAAAATTGATATATCGTGCATATTTATACACTTTGATTAACTTTTAGTCCTATTTAGAGCAATTAGTATTGTTTTTTATTAAAAGGGTGAGCATTTTGATTTATAATTCAATTTTTCTAAATCATGGTTAAGTTTCAGATTAACAAATTTCAAAAAGATAGTACGGAAAAATCATTTTATGTTACGTTTAATTTCAGTTCGGTATAGCAATGATTTGATTAATTTCCAATTTCGGATTACTATAATGAGAATTATTTGATTGAGTTTAATTTAATTTAGTTCAATACAATTAGTTTAATTTAGATTTTTGGGTCCAGATGCATAATGTTCCTTATGGTTTTATGAATTTAGGGGTGGCTAGAAGAATTGGTAATTTTGTTGGTAAATTTATTAGTTTTGACCAAAGTCAATTTGAAGAAAATTCGGAATCATATATAGAATCAGGGAATGTATGAAGGTGGGGAAACCTTTAAAGGGAGGCACGACTCTTAGGAAAGGACAGGGAGCAGGCCACTGGGTAGACTTTAAATACAAAAAACTTCATAGTTTTTGCTTTGTCTGTGGTGTTATTGGTCATGCTGACAAGTTCTGCCCTTTGACATATGAATATGTGAAAGAAGTTTTAGATAAAACTTATGGGGTGAACCTCCGAGCCCTTTGGGGGGGGGGGGGGGGGGTAATAAATGGCTGGTCCCAGAAGGATCATCAGTTGGTAGGGGCTCACCTTAACAGGATTACAAACAGAGCAAAGAAAATGACAGGGTAGGACATATGGGTGTAGGAAGATAGAATTGGAATTTCACTATTGCAGACTTCGACAAGGATAGATCTGAGGAAGTAGAAGCAGTAGCTACGGAGGAGATTCTGGTTGAGTAGAAACGTAGGAGGGTGTGGGAGGAGAAGGAACATGAGGCACTTGGTGGTGATAGCATGGTTCTGGATGATCCAAAAAATGGAGGGGGGCGGGGGGGTCTCGGTCACCAGACCTGCCGGGAGCCCCAAAGATGCTTTATGGCAAAGAAAGGTAGGGGGAGGTTCTCGTGATGCTGACGATGCAGTTGAAGTTCCATTACGTTATTTTCATTTTTATTGCTTACTTTGATCAGACTGTTTTAGTTGTTCCCTTTATTTTTCATTCTGTCCGATTCTTGCATTAGAATTGGGTGATGAGTGATCTATTGTAATAATGTTAGGCTCATTTAGACTCACTATAACTATAAGATCAACGAGTCATATTGCACTCTACAAGGTGATTGACTCTAAATCTAATTCGAGAGTCGTTGATTGGAAGATGTCCTTTTATCTTGTTGCCACCTCTCTGAATGTTGTGATTTTAATTTAAGTCATTTTTTCCCAAAAAATTATATGTATTGTTTCGTTGGACATAACTTCACATCTATCTATAAAAGCTGTACTTTTTAGGGATAGAAAACAATTATTATAATCCACATCGCCTAGTATTTATTCCCTGTTTATTATCTAAATAAAATATGATTAAAATAAAAAAATAGGAAAATAAATAATAAAATATTAAAAAACAATGCCTTATTTGGATGCTTTTAGTTGGACAATTTTCAGTCATATATCAGACCAGACCAGACTTAAACAGATCAAATCAGACTAGACTGCAACAGTTCAAACCAAACTTCCATAGTTATAAAATACACAGAGACCAGACATTTACCAGATCAGACCAGACCAAACAAACAAATTTAGTCCAAGTAAAAACATCCTTTGTCTTATGAGGACATAGGATATGAAAAGTCTTTGCTTAAAGTTGCATCTTCTCAATCACTAGAAAAATTAAACACTCTATCTATCACAAAAGTCAAGTTTATGATTGATTACCATTTATCACATTGCAATATTAAAAAAAATACGAATAGGCAATAAAAAAATACTGGAATGTTCATACATTTTATTCAAATGAATCATGTAAAATCTTTACAATTTTCTAATTTAACTTATAGTGACATAAATTCAATCTGCTATTCTCGTTCTTAAATGTTGGGATCCTATACATTATTAAAACTAAATTTTATTCACCTCACAAAACTGTCCCATGAAGCACGAGCGCATCTTTCTTTTTTATGTAAAATTGATCGATCCTACATAATTATGCTCTGAATCTTTTGAAAGCGGCTTCTCCAGGCCAAAATCTGGGCCGCAGTGGTTTGGGCACGCTGGTGGATTTTGACAGTTGGAAACGGAAACAAGGATACTGTTCTCAGGGCCACATTTGGATAAGAAAAGATGGTCCTGTTTGGCCCTTTTTCAGTTGTTTGGCCGGAAACAGTTGCAAGGCCTACAAAATAGGACCAGAGCCAACATGTTCCAATTCCAATCTTTCTAGCATATTTTGAAGGCTAAAATCTGGGGAAATAGAAGGCTTGATCCCCGCCTGGAACTAAACCAAAATCAACTGGTGTCTATACAAACCAATAATTTTAGGGAATAATGGCTTACCCTCTTGGGTGCCTTGAGGTTATATTTATACTAAAAGGAGTGTAGGAAATTACATAGTAATCCGTATATAATTACATTATTACACTCCCTCAATCTGTGCAGGGGAAACAACGCGCAGATTGGAACGTAAAGATTCAAAACGCTTACTAGATAAATTTTTAGTAAAAATGTCAGCCAACTGCAACTGTGTGGGAATGTACTTCACAACGAGATCCCCATGAGCCACCCTTTCTCGAACAAAGTGATAATCGATTTTAATGTGTTTGCTCCGGTCAATATCAATCACGCATTTGTGTTTCTGTGAAATATTTGTACCCAATTCAATGAGATGTAGGCTTTTTTTCAAAAGACCTAAACTGAGCCATGGCCTTAGGAGCAAACCTCAAACCTTTTAAATATTGTTAAAACTTATGCAAAAAAAGATGTATTATTAGCATGCGGTGGTCGATCAACGATTAATGAAGCAGGGTCGGGCTCACAACATGGGTGAGAACTCCATATAGGATGCTTGAGTACTGACAGCGTGTGGAGGTAAGATTTTAAGGTCAGAGCTGCTTCGTTTTTTGTTCGGTTTATCTGATTGGGTGAGTCTGGCTGAGCTCCAAGCCCTGGCCGAGATTTGTCCTGCGTTTTGACTATATTGGGTTTTGAGCATTTTTGTGTCGTTAGCTTTGTGTAGTCCATTGTTTTGATTGGCCTGTTTTTTCTCAATGGAGAATATAGCTGAAGAATATGGAAAGTCGATTGAGGAGGAAGACAATAGCGGTCTGGTGTTTGAATCTGGAGCCCTGAATGTTAGTAGTGTGGTGGGAGAGAACCCACAATTCTTAGCTGTTGTTAGGGTTGTCACATACAAACTTGTCTGTCTCATCTCCTTCCGGGAGACAATGGCGATGATATATTGATCTGGCGCCTGACTAAAGGGGTGGGCATTAAACAAATCAGAGATATGTGGTTTATGATTCAGTTCAATCATGAAAATGATATTGCACGACTTTTGCAGGATGGCCCGTGGTCCTATGACCAAAATTTAGTTGTTATTAGAAAGGTGGAAGCTAAGGACAGGTCACTTGAGGTTGACCTGAATCAAGTAGAGTTTTGGGTTCAAATCCATAATTTTTTCCTAAGCTTTATGACTAAGACAATGGTGACTGGTATTCGACGATACCTAGGGAAACTAATACGGATTGATGAAAGAACCCAAAACCGGGAAACTAAAGAGTATGTACGCATCTGTGTTCTGCTAGACACAAATAATGCTCTAAAGAGAAGAACGCAAGTTAGAGAAGAAGGGGCTAGCTGGTTCTAGGCGTAGTTCAAATATGAGAGGCTTCTAAATCTCCAATTTATCTGTGGAGTTCTGGGACACACTGACATATTGCCCATCAAACACAAGTGTGGGGCCATGGATGGGTGACAAGCCTTATGGACTTGGATGTGGGCAGATTTTGCAGCGGGGAGGAACTCACCCGGGAAATAAGTGGTTAATCCCGTGAGTAGGGCGTGAGACGAAAAATAATAGGGATGGTAGTGAAAGTCAAGGTCAATATATAGGATGCCAAGAGAAGGTTCATATGCGAGATGTTATTTGGTTTAGGGGCAGATTTAAAGGGGAAAAGAAAACGTGGGAGAGGAAGAGGAGTCTAACCAAGATAGAGTTCTCAACGAAGGGGAATCCGGGAAGCGCAGGGCAGTATATTTGTAAAATCTGGTTGAAGTTAGTAGGAGGTAGATGGAAATTGGGCAAAAAAGCAGCTTTGCGGCAGTGCTATTGAATCAGCACCATGTGGAATTACATTAGTTTATGTGAGCAGGAAGCTTCCTTTGGAAGTGGCTGGACATACCTCTTCTCCCTTGTTGGTGGTTGGTAAAACCAGAAGTTATGATTCTATTTGTTCTTTTCAGTTTAATAATTCTAGTTTTTATCCATTTATTTTCGTAGAAAGTGCAACGATACTACTAGATTAGCCTACCATGGTGCGGGCTTAGTGAACTTGTCGGGTTCTCGGGGGTTGATCAGTTCTATGTCTCACTCCAGGGTAGTTCTTAGCTATTGGTTTGCTTTGTCTCCTATCACTTTCATTATTATAAATAAAGAAGTGTTCTTTAAAAAGAAAAGATGTATTATTCTTTTTATTAAAAATAAACCATATATTTGGACTTGTGGTTGGTGACATGTCTACAATGTATATACATAGTCAAAGTAATGTTAATCGTGTGGTTTTAAATTATTTTGATATGAGAGATTTTTTTAATAGGACTAAATAAAAGCAAAATTGAAACAATAGGAACTTCAAGTTTAAATTCTCAAAATAGGACTACTAACTCTTCCTATTGTACCTTTTCCCTTGTCACAATAGGACTTTTTAAATAATAATAATAAAACATAAAAAATAAAATAAAATAACATCTTTCAAATATTTGAGCTTGTGGTCGGTGAAAAGTATGTGTAATGTGTTATGTGTGTGATTTAGATCAGTTTGGGTTGGTTAAGTGGGTTCAAATATCAAAATTAGAGATTGTTCGGATTTGTGATCATTTTCAACAATCAAAATCTTCCACACGAACTATATGTAGTAGGGCTGGGCACGGGCGTGGCAGAGCGGATAATACAAAATAAAATGGAACTGCCGGTTCCGTTATGTGGTCCGATCCGGTTCGGATATTGCAATTTTTTCAAAATAGGAACCGGACCTTACCCGGCCTGGTTGAAACGGGTCGATCCGGATTGGGATTTTCGGTTCCTATTTCCATGTCTTACAAATAGTAAATACTTACAAATTTCCAAAATCAATAATCAATGATCAATAATATAGTACATTGACAAGTTTCAAAATAAAAACATATACTTGTGCTAGCACAAGTGACATGTTCAATACTCCATAACTTCATATATATAAATTCTAAACAATTAAAGAACTTCTAAAAATCAGCAACATAGTCACTCTTAAATTCCCAAATGATTACACCAAAGGTCCCAAATAACAACATAGTAAAGTGTAAACCTTCAACTCTTCAAGTCCCAAAAGACTACACCAAAATAACAACATAGCTTACCTTCAAGTCCCACATGACAATACCAAAATAATAACATTACAACTCATGCATATTCATTAGTAGCTTAAAAGAGCTTCAAAACTGAAATATAGAGAATTTGAGATACATCACACGGCTAAGTAATCAAAGTTGGCAAAGGCCCAAGTATTATTTTGGAACCGGCCCGGGGCTTAAAAAATTTCCCGACCCTACCCGGACCGTTTTCTTGCAACAAAAAATGGAACCGGCCTGTTTTGGACCCGAACCGCCATTAGCCAAACCGGACCGCGGTCCCAAGACCTGTTTGCCCTTCCTCCTCTACGTTGTACTCGTTGAAAATGATTAAAGACAAATCGTGAAGTGATTGAATGGTATAATATGCCTCCTATGGGCTTAATATATACTACGTATATATTGTATTTAAAAAGACGTATGAGTAATAGATTTCACTTAGAAAAACGGTAAAAATAATGAAATCATGCAATGAGAAATGTATATACATAATTTAAGGATAAATGAGAGTTTCCATGATCACAATTCCTATGAGTAAATTATTTTAAAGTTTGACGGATGTTTAAATGATTTGAATTGATTATCAAAAGTTTTTAGAATGTTAGTTTGAATTTCAGGAAAACTGTCAATTTGGTCCTTGTACATTCATGAAAAAGTCAATTAGGTCCTCATATGTTTAAAAACATCAATCAAATCCCCGAACATTGTAAAAACATTCAATTGAGTCTACTTGCCATGTCAGCAGACCACCTGCTGACGTGGCGCACATATGGCAGCTCAATCAGCAATCATTTTTTTGACGTGGCATACATGCGGAAGTCTAGTTAGCATTTTTTATGACGTGGCGTACACGTGGACCGCCACATGTGCGCCACGTTAGCAGATAACATGCTGACATGGCAAGTAACCTGTAAATGTACTCAATTGAACATTTTTACGAAGATTGGGGATCTGATTGATTTTTTTAAGAGTAGGAGGATCTAATTGATTTTTTTTTATGAAAGTACAAAGATCAAATTAACAATTTTCTATTGAATTTCTTCAAGTTTGAGTGATAAAAAATTTAGGAATAATACTCCAAAATTTTGAGAAAACGGCTTTTAGCTCCCCAAGGAAACTTTGCCAAGAAAGTGTGGTTCCGGCTGTGAATCAAGAGCCCAACTACTTTAAGCACATGTGCGTCCAGTAAGTAACTCGTTTTTCGTGCTATCCATTTTCTTGTATTTTATTTGGTAGTTCTACGTCAGGACAAAGGCCTTCTCTTTGCCGTACAAAACAATTGTACCGAAAATGTATACACTTGTCTGTCCCCACAAACAAATTGTCTGTCCGGACAAATAATTTGTTTGCAGGGGGCAGACAAATATACAACTTTTGTGTACACCAAACTCCACTCAACTGTATATATGCCCACCTTGTGGGCAAAATACAATGTAACAAAAAAATAATGCAATTTTCGGCAATAACTTTCTGTGCCTCAAAAGTTTATCGTAATATCTGTTATATTGTTGCCAAATCCATGTGTAGTTATACGTGCTTTTCAGTTTAATTAACTAATAAATTAGATTATGTCATTTACAAAAACGAACTAGTTTAAATTGTTTTTTCACATTCTCTATTACAAAAAAAAACATTTTTTACCACTACGTTATCAACTCTTACTTTTCAAAAACATATTTTTCTCAAACATTGTTAACTTTTATTATCAAGCACGTTTTCTAAAAGTACTCTAAGATATAATATTTTTAAAGTACTAACAGTCACAAACAATCTCTTAAATGGATCAGATTAGACCACACAAGAATTTAATCCAAACGAAAAGGTCCAGCACTGAATCCTCAAAGGCCCATTAGTGCACAACTTCTTTTTCTTTTTTAAAGTTAAAGGATTGTTTGACAAACGTTGGTCAATAAATACTCAAGAACAAATCGGGATGGTATCTACTCTTAAAAGATGATTAGAGACAAAGAAGAACCCACAAAATTTGATTTCATTTCAAGCATCCAATGTTCCCTTTGCCCATCCCTCACTTTTCTCATTCCTTTTGAGGTGAGGTCTTGTCTTTTCCTCTCTCCATTTTTAATTCTGTGAATATACATGCTTATAATTCATGTGTAACATAATGAGGGGTCAATAAAACACCAATATACTTCGACACATTTTTTTGGGAAAAATTGACAAGAATGATCACACCTTTCACATCTTATAATAATCCCACCTTTACATAATCCCAAAATAATTCCACCTTCGCACCTCATCTTCTTTCATTGGACCTTGACCAAGTTTTTTACCTTTCTTTGAAAATTTTATATAAATAATTTCACATTTATAAAGATATAATAGAAAAGTGAAAGGTGAGATTATTTATATGATTTTCAAAAAAAGAGTAAAAAACATGGTTAAGGTCCAATGAAAGAAGATGAGGTGCAAAGGTGGGATTATTCTGAGATTATCTAAAGGTGGGATTATTATGAGAAGACCGGCGAAAGGTGAAATTGTTTTTGTCAATTTTTCCTTTTCTTTTATCTATCTCATATTTATAGAACATTATTATTACTCCGCTCACTAGTTATGTACTTCATATTAATTATCTCTAAAATCTATGGATGTCAAGTAAGAAAATCATTAAATATTGTTAAGCACTCATCTGAGATGCTAAACAATTATATATGGGCCACTTAGGTGGGGATCAATGCGCCAGATGTTCCTCTTGCATGTTCGATCAGTTGTCAAAATTTAGCCTTTTTCTTAATTTATGTTATGACTTTAAATAGCATACCTTATAATTTATGATGGTAGATATTCTTATTTCTATCCATTATATTGAAATTTCACTATTTTAGAAGTTATACGTTAATACTTCGACCATCCTTTCATTTACAATTACTGTGGTAGAATTCATATCATAAGTAATAGCCAGTAATCAAGTTATGTAATGTTGAATTGGATTGAATGCACTGAATTTGCTAAAATGAATTGCTTAATTTTTTCAATTATGAAAAATTAGTTTTAAACTACGTAGTATATTTTATCAATCAACAAAATCAAGAAAACGTTCTATAGAGTGTTGAAATGGTCCTTTTCAACCATTTCAATCATCCAACAAAAAGATGTTTTGGTTAGTTTGATTGTGAAAAATTCAAGGTGGGGAGTAAAAAATTTATAAGGTGATAAGTTAGAAAAATGTACTCCCTACATCCCCTTTTAATGTCCCGGAAGAGGGTGACACGAGTTTTAAGAAAAGTGTGTTTGTGTGGTTAATATTAATTGATAAAGTAAGAATAAAGTAAGAATGATTTTGAGCCACACAAACTTTACCAAATAAGGTATGAAACAATTAAATAGGGACATCCCAATATGGTAAAACGGGACATTTAAAATGGGACGGAGGGAGTAACTCTTAGAGCATATTCAATGCAAAAAATGTGAATTAGTGCATATGTGAAATTAAGGAGATAGACACATACATAGAATGTATGTAGTAATAAGTAAAATGCCCGTTTTCATATTAAAAGGTTATACTCCGTATATGTTTGTGGTGAAATGTTTCTTGATAATGTCACGTATACCGTATAGATATAGACATTGTGATTGACATTATTGAAAAACATTACTAAAACATATAAAACCATGAAAAGAAAGAGTGAGAAATATCATTGACTTTTTTGTATGTGTTTATCTCTCTTACCACATATGTACATTGCGCTTTTATGCATTGAGTTGCTCTTAAAGCATCCTCAATGCCACAATGTGCATGATACACATGTGATATGAGACAAATCGACACATAAATATTAATGAACAATATTTCTCTCTCTCATTATTTGAAAGGTCTTATTATTTTTGATAAGTTTTTATCCACAATATCAAGACGTGTGTCTAGATGTAGACATTACGATTAACATTGTTGTGAATAAACTACAAAATTATATAAAAACATGAAAAGAAAGATAGATAAATGTGAATAATTTGCTTTTTTATGTTTATTTTCTCATGAAACATATGCACCGTGCACATTATTGCATTGGACATGCTCTTATACTCACTTTGTCTCATAATTAACTCTTGTCTTGACTTACACAAAAATTAAGAAAGCGGATATTATGTGATTTAAACCTGAGCACAAAATTACATATTTTTTATATTAGAACAGATGAATTAGGAAATAATGAATCTATTTTGGAAGTGAGAGTAGAACAAAATATACCGAGTATCCTTATTTTATAGTTCAAAAAAGCACCTCCGGGACAACCTTTGACATTTATACTCATCATTTATAGAATCATCATTTATAGGGGGAGACTTTTGTGGCTACTTGACCCACTTTTGAGACGAAAAGCGGAAAAGGCCCTCCACCAGACGCCTCCCACTCCGTTGCCAAAAAAGCTACTCAATACGGAGGAGTATGTTGGGGTTACACGAGTAACAGTTTCTTGTAGAGCTACTAGACTTAAATACCGCTCTAAGGAAAGAATCAAAGGAAATAAAGAAAAAGAAGACAAAGCTTTTCAGGGTCAAAAGGTGTCCGGGCTGCCCAATTTAGTGCGCATACACACTACATCTCTTAAGAACAAGTCTTAACTCGTTTTCAGTTATGTTCTGCAAACCAGTTCATCCCCTGCCACATTGCATGAACTCCATGAAGAACAAGTGCGGTTTCTGATGCCCAAGATTAGTTGATTTTTTCTTTGACTCTCTGGGTCTCTTGGGTATGTTGTATCTTTGGGAAAAAGATTCAGTCTTGGTTGATCATTCTTTTCTCTTGCACCATTAAAGCCTCCGATGGTAAGTTTCTTTTTCTGGTCCCAGTAATCTTTGTTCATACTGCAGTGTCGATTCTCCTGTTGCTTTTGGTTCTTTGTTCTGAAGTTTTGACCTTTTTCATGTTTATAATCGGATGGGTTTCAGAATGTGGTTTAATGGGTAAATTTGTAGTTGTTTTTTACTCAATTTCCCCTAATTCTGTGTAACCTTATATAAAAAAGGAAAATTAATTGAAGGTTGGGTTCACCTGTAATTTAATTCGGTGAGGAATTGCTTGCTGATAGGATATGGAGCACTACAGTGATGGTGTCAAGACCAAGAAGAAACCATCATCTAGCGAGGAGGTCCAGAATTCATTGAGGCAAGAGGTAACAGTTAAGAGGAGATTTAATTGTCTTGTTTCTGGAGCTAATGGCTGTAATTTGATACAATGCTAATCACATTTCTGTCTGTGCAGATAATCCAGCTTGAGAAAAGATTGCAGGACCAAGTTGCTGTTCGTTGTGCTTTAGAGAAAGCATTGGGTTGTGGGTCTTCCTCCCATAAGCCCACATGTGAAACCCCTCCAATTAATAAGGTATCCCATTTTTAGAATGGAACACCAAATTTTGATATTTCAAAAAGATCCGTAAATACGCTAGTATTGTTTTTCATGAATTTAGGACTTGCTCATTCCTAAAGAATAATTATAACTAATTTTATATTTTTAAACTGAACAATTCCATCATTTTTGAAAAATAGAAAGAAATAAGGATGCTCATGTTTTACTCATATTTGCAGTAATTCTGTCAATATCTTTTATCTATTTAGAATTCTGAAATTGGTTCAATTGATGATAGCAGCCAACAAGAGAGCTTATTAGAGAAATATCAGTGCTAGAGTTTGAGGTTGGGCACTTGGAACAATATCTCCTTTCACTTTACAGGCAAGCATTTGATCAGCAGCTCACATCCTTTTCTCCTCCCAGAAGAGCTGAAAGACTGAAGTCACACTTAGGTGCTCCAAGAAGAAGGATAGATTTTTCAAAAGCAGATGTGTCACTCAGGACAGGTCTGTCAGCATGTAATGCACAGAAAGAGAGTATTCCCATAGCTGAAGAAAAGAAAAGTGATTTTCGCGTTCAACGAAGCCATTCTTCCCTATCTCTCCGCTCAGCTCGGCCAAACAGAGCTTCTACACAGGAAGAGGCATCAGGCAAAACTGTGCGTGCTTGTTACTCTCAGCCTTTGTCCATGAGGGAGGTGAGTTGCATCTTTGAAGTGCCCCCCCCCACCTGTTAATTCTAATGGTAAAGTTAATCAGTGTAAACTGTATAATGATAAATAATAGTAATGTTAATCACGGTAAACTGCCTAATTATAAATAGGAAAAATTGAAAATAATAATCCCAACTATTGCCGGTCCGCCGATAATAATCCCAACTATTGATTATTTTGTATATTTCCAACTATATGGACCGTCCGCCAATAATGGTCCATGATCAGATATTACCTCCTATAACAAGTGAATTTTAAATAGAAATTAAGCATAAAAATTAAATGTTGGGATTATTTATAGGGATTACTTGTTATATCTCTTCTCATCCACTTTAGAAACTACATGAATTTATTTACAGGGACCATTATTGGCGGAAGGCCCCTAAAGTTGGGATTATTCTGAAATAATCAATAGTTGAGATTATTATGAGCGGATCGTCAATAGTTGGGATTATTACTATCAATTTTTTCTTATAAATATGGTATGGATCCTATGCAAGTATGGGAGAGTAGAAACTTGTTAGACAAAAAAGGATATACTATTACAAAAATAAAAACAATATACAAAAAAATGACTTTTAATGGCCCTAGTACTCCCTCTGTCCCTAAATTATGGCCCATTTGACTTAACACACAATTTATAAAGTGAAAATTGTGTCATTGAGCCATTGAGGTTTTGGTTAAAAGAAAGAGAAAAACTATGAATCACATATTGCTTTCCTTTAAAGGAAATGGGCAATAATTTTGAGACAAAAGAAAAACACAAGTATGTAGGTAATGTGGGAGTAGTATTTTGATATTTTCACAGTAACTGTAGTGATATTATAGTCACATACTCATATTTTTGTTTGAGTTCTATTTTAGTAATATTATAGGACAAACCCCTTTAATTAAATAATTCTGTTTTATTTACAGTATGAACAGAGTACTTCATCAAAGGTAAGCCGTTTGGGGCGGAATATCGCCACACATAGTACTACTGATCTTGTTCCAACGACGCCAAACAAGCTCTCCGAGGAAATGATAAAGTGCATGTGCACTATATACTGCAGACTTTCTGATCCGGCACTTACAACAAGTAGGCTGGGAGCTTCATCTCCACCTACCTCAGCGTTCTCATCACCAAATCCATATTCTGAAAGTGACACGTGGAGCCCGAGACTTCGAAATTACTCGTCCTTTGATTTGAGTTTGGACAATCCTTTCCATGTTCAAGGACTGAAGGATTTCAGTGGACCTTACAGCACAATGGTTGAAATACAATGTATACATAGAGATAGTCGTAGACTTTGCAAGATTGAACCATTGTTACAATATTACAGGTAATAAACATCATTTGACTTCTAACTTGTTTGTTTGGTCACTTATGTTGTAGTGCTTAATGAGTTTTTGTGTTGCAGGTCACTTATTTGTCAATTAGACGAAAGCGATCCTAGTTTGTTGATTCATGAGGAGAAACTAGCTTTCTGGATTAACATCCATAACGCATTAGTAATGCATGTAACTTTTCTCATCCAAACTTTGCATCTTATGCCTTATACTTTCATATTGTGTAGCCATCTTACACCGATATAAAATATAAAAATACAAACATGCAAAAAGTATCTAGGATTGACCTTTGAGGATAAAATGTCATATCCTAATATATATGTCTTGAAGTCTTCAATATGCCTAACGGTAATTATTTTTGCACTCCGAGTAGGCATTTTTGGCTTATGGAATCCCACAAAATAGCATGAAGAGAACTTTTATTTTGTTAAAGGTTGGCAAAATCTAAATTATCTTATCTTACAAACAGCAATTTCTAGTTTGGCAATGATGCTCTCTTATCCTTCTTAACTTCACTTGGGTTAATCCAGGCTGCGTATAATGTTGGGGGTCATATTGTAAGCGCAGATGCTATAGAGACGTCTATACTAAGATGCCGAATGCCTCGATCCGGACAGGTTAATTTTTATTTCTTTTCTCTCTCTCTCTCTCTCTCTCTAATAGAGTTTAGCCTCATTAGTGCTGATATAGGTTGGTTATTTGTATGTCTAGTGGATTCGCTTTCTTGTTTCTTCATGGGGAAAATTCAAAACTGGGGACGAGCGACAAGCATTTGTGATTGAACGTCCAGAACCTCTTCTGCATTTTGCACTCTGTTCTGGAAACCATTCAGATCCTGCGGTAGGTATCCTCTTGGTTTCTCTATAGTGGATGTTTTTTTACCTTAAGGCTTGTTTGGTTGGGGGATTTCAGGGAGAGGGGGGTTGGTTTTTGGTTTACTAATTTTTTCAGGGGTGGATGTTTTTGATTGTACATAACAAATTAAACCGAACCATGAGCAATTCAGTTTTATTTTGACAATGTTTGTCTGGACCATATTTATTCAAACTGAACTGAAACTTCTTAAGACCAAACCGAATGAAAAGTTGAAAACACAATAAAAGCATACTAAATAATACGGAGTAATAAAAACCCCAATTTGGAACTGAAATCAAATCAAACTAAACTGAATAAAACCGAGCCAAATGAAAGCAATCCTTGTTTGATTTGAATTCAGTAATAATTTCCCCAACCCGTTTTGAACCAAAACGAACTTTAAATTGGAACATCATCCATTGCTTCGTAAAATCATGCATTTCTGTACATTTGTTCATCTGCTCATTTTTTGGAACCATTTAAATGCATGCATTAACCAATGGATAACTGAATAAGCTTCACTCTTACCATTCCGTTTCCTCAAAAGTCCCTCGACCAAACATGGGGCAAGGGGTGCTCTTACAAGCCAAAAAAAGCTTGGCAAGAAATTCAGTAGATCATTTTAGATATTTAATCATAGTTATATTGTTCTTATATTTCTATTGCACAAAGACAATCTAAATACGAACAATGAAAACTACAAGACTAAAATAAAAATTAATAAAAAAAATTATGACTTAACACCCACGGTTACACATGACCATGCCAATATATTTGTACTGACTATAATGATCATGTAATCATGTTTTTGTCCATGAGTTCTATTATAGTAACATTAGAGGAAAAGTTTATCTGAATGTATGTAAAATTTTAATGTTTGTTAATCAAATACTCCGTATGATTTTTCTCATACTTTCCAAGGTAAGGGAAGTCATACAAATTGATAGTAATAATTTCCTTGGCATATATTTGTTTCGTTTCATATCATTTTCCGGGCTCCAACACAGCTTAAGGAGTTGGGTACGTTTTTTTATCTCTTATTTTAGGTTCGACTCTACACACCAAAAAAAGTGGTACAAGAGCTGGAAGCAGCAAAAGAGGAGTACACTAGAGCTACTTTTGGCGTGTCAAAGGATCACAAAATTGTGTTACCTAAGGTTGTAGAATCATTTGCGAAGGATTCGGGAATGTGTGCTGCCAATGTGGTGGAGATGGTCCATCAATCCTTGCCTGAATCTTTGAGGAGGAAGAGCAGCATTATTTTCAAGAAGAGGTTTCAGCGGGGAAAAGGTCGTAGGAACATCGAATGGGTTCCTCATGATTTCACCTTTCGCTATCTTATATATAAAGACCTGGTAAGGTGATTGCTCCACTTGTGCAGTTATAGCTGATTAACGGGCTGGTTCTGCCATTATCTTCTTTAACTGCCCAAATGAACATAAAATCTCCCAGTTAGCTCTTAACAAAGGATAGGTTGACATTAGTTATATATATATAAATATAATTTATTTTTCTTGTTTTGTATATAAAATAATATGATGGATTATTTATATGTTACTCAGTTGTTTATATTAATGTTATATTGTAGTTATGAAAGTATGTCCTCCAAGGATATGTCTGCATGTAATTGTACGACTAAGAAATGGTTCATAAGTTAGTTACAGTAGTAATTTTTGTATACTAGTATATCATTCTCATTTCCCCCCTTTTGTGAAGTTAATTAATGAGGTACTCATGTCATGAAAGTGTAGAAAAACAAAGGCAAATAGGCCAACCAGAAAAGAATACAATCTTATCATAATGTAACGTATGAACTATTTGATACTAGTATTTAACAAAGGTGGAATGAGTATACTCATTTTCTATTTTTTCTGTATATTGCATCTAATTATTATTTTTTCTGTATATTGCATTTTATGGGGACATTAGTGCTCTGTGTTATTGCACTACGGATCATAATCATTCCACAACAAACTTCTTCAATGCATTCAATTCATTGTCAATGCTCAATGGCCATATTTAATGCCCAAAAATCCTAAATTCAACCAACCAAAATCTCAAATAATTACAAATTAAAAGCTTCCATTCCTCAAACAATACTTACAAACCACTATCTAGCGGTGAGCCTTCCATCAGTTCCATTGCTCCCGATCTCACGAATCCATTCATGGCTCTAAATCGACAACTTTGCTCTCAGTTTGGAGACTCTGGACGTCTGTGGAGGCGGTGCGGAGGCTAGACTATGGACGGAGGTTTCGGATGAGCGACGGTCGTTGACGATGCCATGACACCCAGGATAAACGGACGTCTTCTCAAGTAGGCTACATAGCTTCTAGGGTGGGGATTTTGCTCCCAGACCGTTAGATATGCGCGAACGGCAGGCAACCTCTTCGGCGACGATGTGGTTGTACGGCGAGCGTGTGGCGGTGTAGCTATACGTCAGGCGGCGGCGCTGTTGTACGTAGGGCGGCGGCATGGATGGGTATTGCTATTATTAGCCCTTATCATAATAGTATAAGGGCATATGAGTCATAAAAATAATTGGTTTAATTATTTATTAATTTATTAATTAATTATCACGAATTTTAATTATATTTTGAGAAAAAAACTTATTAGGTCATAGATTGAGAAACTGATTAGGTTTTAGTAATACATAGGATAATTATCTCAGAAACAAATTGATTATGACAACCAAACAGTGCATGTTATGACAATCAAGAACAAGGACATAAAGTTGTTTTCACTCTTACTACAATCAAAATTTCACAAATTCCACTATTGGACCTTCAAACCCAACCCTTGTTTTTCTGGAAAACATCAGAGAAGCTTGGATCTTGACACAGTAATAAGAACAAGCAAACAGAGTGAGAGAAACATCATCAATAGGGCCTCTCTCCGACAACGTTTCCGGGAGGGTTGTAGAAACATATGGTTAAGGTAATCTGTCCCTTCCCACAAGTCGCCTGAGCACAACCCAATTCCAGCGATTCCTTCCACACCACCTGAGTGTACACCCCACACTGGTGATCGGAAATGCAAGAATTGTTCCCGTAATCGTAGAACTTCTTCTCTGACACCCACTGCTCCACCGCCATCCGCGGCGTCGCCGCCGCCCCGCCTGCCCACATCTGGTTGCCGCCGTACTTTCCGCCGCTCAGCTCGGCGAAGCTGCAGTTCTGTGCGTCTCTCTGGTGACGAACCTGGAGGCTGGTGGCATTGGCAAGCATCTGGCTCCATGCGAGTGGACCCACACCGACTTCCGCCCTTGCTTGGTTGTGGGCGTCCAGGAAATCTTGGGCGGGTCGAGGTAGCGCCGCCGGGGCTGTGGATCCCGCCGGTGGTGGCGGAACTTGTTGCGTAGAACCGCTGCGTATGGTCAGAGCAATTATTATGAGAACTACCAGTAAAGAAATTATTTTGACCATTTTTTCTTCGATCTGTATGTAGACAGTGTGTTGTTCCGATACTACTCTACTCGTAACAAAATACTTTAGCACAATGATATGATCCCGAATTTAGCAAGAGGACAACTTCATTCAATACTTCAATTATTCATTTTTTGATCGGTCTATTATCCGTAATAATTTTGGTAAGCCAAAGTATGACATATGAAATGAGATTATGAGATTGAGGTGGTACTTAACTATTACTTGACCATTGATTTTCCAATATGTCAAAGAGCCGTATGGACGCTCAAAAGTTATTGTGTACTTGCTTAAAATATAATGAAAATCACAAAACGTAATATTAGTAAATACATAGCAAGTACTCGGTATTAGAGTTCATTATATAATTTGACTCATTTATGCAACTTCACTAAATTAATCTTACAAGTTTTCATATGATTTAAAGAAAAATCAATATTAATAACTTCATTGTCAATTGTCTCATAGTTTCTCTTTCGATGCTACATATTAAGCACTTTATAAAAAATCATCACTCATTTTATTGTAAAGATCTGTTTTGATGATTTATCACGCAAAATGAGCTACCGTTCTAATTGAACTTGCACGATTCTAGCACTATTCTTTAGTATATATATAAATATATACGATACATTTAAAAATCACTTTAGTTTTCATAATAGTTCTTATCAAATGATTAATTTTGTTTTCAAAAAAAAAAATCAAATGATTAATTTTGTATAATTTCTTATGAACAGGTGCAATGTTAAAATCACTTTAGTTTTGTATAGCTCATACATAACTTATTGACTAATAAAGTAGGTGATATAAAGTACACACTTTTGTACATTGCATGTGTACACAAGCATTTGGGAGACAAATGATGTCTTCTTCTTAACGAACTGTCTGTGTACACATGCAAAACAAGAGGGTAGGTACAAAAGTGGGTACTAACAAATTTTTTTATTAATAAAGGTGCTTGAGAATTGTAGTTGAGAATCTTGCGACATTATTTGTGTGCCTTGATGGGTTGGTGAAAACCGTCTCACCTATAGCAACACTAGCTCTTAGAATTCTATAACGAAGCTAAGACTGAGCATTGCAAAAAGGTCTAGCGGCACAGTTGTAGGTTAAGCCAACGCTTTTACTAACGCACTAAAACTACTAGCAACACTTTTTAGCGTCACGATGTCGCCGTAGGTAAGTATAAAGCGCCTTGATAGTCCTTTTCTACTAGTGCCACAAGCACACTTGTCGGCGAATGGGCTATTGTTTGTCTGCTAATAACCCGTTCACATACAAAATACTACCTCCGTGTTTAAATAAATGCAACGTGTTGAATATTACACTATTCACATGTTCTACTTTGACTATATTTTATTAGTTAATGTATTAATATAATTTTTTGAAAAATATTGTTAAATTTATCTCATTATAAATTTTCAAAATCTGATTTTTTTTTTCTAATAGAGAATTATATATATTAATGGTCAAAATTGTGCCTTGACAAATGTGAAAAGTTGAATGTTTCATTTATTTAAGAACGGATGAAGTATGTTCATGAATGTCGATGAACATGCTCTGCTGTCAACAGGTCGCTCACAGAAAAAATACTCCTCCCGTCCCATTTAAAGGTTCTCGTCCCCTATTCTCCGATCAACGTGAGATGTTCTTAATCGTTCACTTTATATATGAGATTCCTTTATATATCCAACTTTTATCAAATTTTATTTTTCTTGATCAGGTATTATAAAACTTTTAATGTAATTTCTGAATATGTAAATTTTATGTATTAAAAATAATCTTATTAATGACAGAGATCAGTTAACTTTATGGTCAGTTAAACATCGTGAGCTACGTGGGAACCTTTAAGTAGGACAGAGGGAGTAGCATATTCACCGACAAATAAAATGATCAATGATATAAAAAGTGTGTACAAGAAGAATGGTTGATTCAATTTCTAGTTGTTGTATTTTATCGTTACTATCAAGAACTTCGGCTGGACAATTTTTTTTTGTTTAAACTTCAAACGGAGTAGATCACATGCATCTTTACTCTAATAGTGTGATTTTATCATAATTTATTTCATATTCTACGTCCATGTCAATTTGTCAAGTCCCGTCAATTTGTATTACCAATGAATTTAATCTAGTCTTGTTTACGATTGACCTAAATGCATACAATTTTATGGACTTGATAATGTGGTTGGAGTAGGAGTGTATGGCCATCTCTCTTTCAATCTATAATTGCCTTACCAATTTCGTCATCCAAACGGTTTCACACCAACCATTTATGAGTGGTGATTCTAGGATTGGGTCTTTTAAATTGAAAACACAATAAAAATAAATGGAGTTGCAACTTAACTAAATTCAATCGTAAAGGGAAATCCACCAACTTAACTAGGATTGGGGGAAAAGAAAGAATCACCAAGATCCTACAAAACAAAGAACATATAAATACAGAAAGGTTACCAAAAGATTGGTTGAAAAGGGAATTCCACCACCTGGTCAAAAGGGGACTAACTGATGTTAGGGCTAGATTTAAACCAACTGGAAATGCCACACTCAAACCAAATGCCTAGTGACACTGAGAAGAACCAGAAGAACACATCAACTAGAATAAGGCCAAGCAAAGATGACAGTGGGGGAGGAGGAGGTATTACGTCCATATTTCATCTTTAATGAAATTACTCACATAGAATATTAGAGGCCTCAATAGAGCCTCAAAATTAGAAACTATTGTTTCCTATGTAAAGAAATAGTTCTTTTTTCAGCAATTCTTGTAAATTTTGGTTTCTTTGACAAGCTTGTTCTCCTGATCGTGTTAAAACTTGAATCCGTTCATCTATTATTTTGTCAATGGTCATTAAGAAAAGTATATGAGAAGTTGCTATCATGATTATAGCATTCATTGTACGGCAAATTTCAAATTTTAGAAGTGAACATGAGTCATTTATAGCTTTTATAAAAATCATTAAGAAGTTCCTCGTTGAAATCAATTTCATACTCTTATGATTAGTTAAACCATACTACAAACCATAAACAGTTCCCATTAAACTGTAGGCATTGATCCTTTGAAGTTGTGCAAAGTGTATACTTTTACGAATTGAGCATAGCATTGGTTAATGCTAAGTTGAAACAAAGTAAATTGAGTTTTATTTAAGATTTTTTGAACCAAATTTAAATGTGGAGAATGGAGACTTTTAGAGGCGTGTCACGTGTGAATACTGATTGTTTGATCTGGGCAGAATTTTGAGGTTATTTTGTGGAGGTTAGAGAACAAGAGACTATTATGGAAAAA